CGCGTCTTCTCCGCCTTGCCGCCTTGAGGGGGCGAAGCGAAGAGAGGAGGAAACGAGATATCTTCACGTCACGCGCCTAGTCAACCTCGTTCAATCTCGACCTTTTTTTCCAAAAATACGGCCGTCCATTCGAGATATCGCCTTACGAGTAGTGTTGTAGGGATTGTATCGTCCCGGCCTACAACTCCTGCATTTTTTGTTTTTTAAATCCAGATTTTGGTTCACCATGTCTTTTTTTTGCTGTTGGTTTCGTGCTCCGACTTTCACTCCGAGATGTGACGTTACGATATTTAATGAAAGGTCGTTGAGTAAAACGCCAGGATTTTTGGAGGCATTCAGAACGCTCTGTTGTGTCCGCAAGCATACATCAATAAAAATTACTCGTTTTCAGGCAAGCCGGCTCACATGCTCTACCCGTTTTCACCTCAAGACCGCCTATGAAAGGTGTCCGGCTCCTTGGGGAGCATTAATAATTTTTCCCTTTATGAGGAGAATAAAGATATATGCAGGTGAATCTTAGATAAGATATATGTTATCTAATCAAGACGTATACGTTTCAAACGCCAAAAGCATCGCTTCTTCCTCCTACAACCAAATCTTGTAAGAACTACTTCGCCCGGCGTATGAAAAAATGCGCAAAACTTCCTTCTTTCTTTAGGTGAAAACGAGTATAATCAGTTCGTTGTGTAGAAGCACTCCAATTATTGAAATTCTGTCAAAGTATTTGAGAACGTCTTGAAATATCGGAACTGCAGTCGCCAAGTATCACGAAAACATAGCCATCTCCTCCTGCTGCCGCTTGTTACCACTTGAAGCGCCGGTGCAGACGCCACCGCGAGGGGATCCAAGAGCAGTGCCGGGATCCTATTTTGCGAGGAATGCTGGATAACATGCAGGAACTGTATGAATTCAGCCAAGTCTGGATGATGACTCGTCAGCCGGCTGTGCAGTTCGTTATGCCTCCCTTCCACCGTGTTGGTGGTGCGTGGTCCATCGTTCTCGAACTAACCCCATATGTCTTTGACGACTGTGTTCGAAAGCCAGAAGCTGTCAAAATACTTGGCGAATTGCGAAAATTACAAGCATTATCTGATAATGTTTTTATTTATTTATATATTTATTTGTTTTTTTTTGCGCTTCAAAACGACCTCAGTTTTTGTAGGAGGCACTTAAGTACAAAAACAAAATCATGCGCACAATTCATAACACTATGCAAACACTCATGCATACAACCTTAAAGAGAAAGGTTAAAAACGATATGATAGTTATAGTATCTCTACAAAAGTGTCTCAACTGAACAAAAATAATATATATATTTCCCACTTTTCCAGGTCCCCGACTTTCAAGCGTCCGGATGGATGTTTTGACTCGATGGACGTTTTGACTCTATGGATGTTCTGACTCGGATGGATGCTCTGACTCGATGGACGTTTTGACTCTATGGATGCTTCGACTCGTGACCTAATGTATGTTTTGACTCGTTGGATGTAATGACCCGTTGGATGTTTTGACCATAAGCAGTCTAGGGAGAGAGCTTCACCGGAAACCCGTCGCATCCCCATTTCACGTCACAGCGCCCGTGACTCGGAAGACGGTGAAGGAGCTGAGAGATGCCGAAAACCTCAGTCTTTGTTAATTTTTAAAATAAAAACTAGGATATGCAGGCAAAAGCGGGTTTTTGTTCTCTGCTTAAAAAAAGTCGTGACACCAACTCGCAAATTATTTAATCAGACCACTGAAATTGTTGCACAGCTCTTTTAACGAACCCATTGGCTCTTGTCATTCATGTTCCCCTTTTTGGAAAGGGACCTCCATCCTGTGTAACAAGAAAAATGCGTTTAAGCGTTTAATTAAGGAGACTGTTTCTATAAGCAAACACGGTAATTGCATAAGTCAACCGTCTCCGGTCCTAAGTGATAGAATGAAGTGCTTGTTATTGTGACTATGTGTGGCTGGGTGGGAGGGCGGGGGGGGGGGGGGGGGGGGTTTCGCGGTTTGCTCGAAGAGTTAATGTGGAGGTATACACTGTAATACCCCTGTCAGACGGGCTAGTTTAGTGTCACTACAGGCGAGTGCACTTCGCGCTTAGTGTCATTTCTATAGTGTGCCACACGGCTCCTTCCTGAGGAACACACTTGGCTTGGAGTGAGTTTGACGAACTCACTTCGCTCGATCGAGTGCGTGGCATCAATAGGAGTGTTTCCACAGTAAAACATAACAACACAGAAACCAAAAGCGTGGCGTAAGTTTTATTTTATAAAGAAAAAGAAAATCGTGGAAGAGACGACATATAGAAAAGTGGCATTGCAAAAATATAGTGGGGTGGGCTTGGAGTTTAGGCTGATCTGAATCAAGATTAGCGCAGCGGCGATTGATAAAACACGACGACAAAGTCAGCCATTCATGGCTATCTTGGTTATCAGAGAATGATAGAGCCTACCTTTGTTGCAGCACGTGACTACTCGAGACAACACGATAATCATGATCTGATTAGGCAGTGCAGGGCCTCCTCGTAAAGTTCCGTGGAACGAAGCGGAACGCCAAAGTTGGATATGCTTCGTTCTTTATCTTAATTAATGTAACGTAATTTTAGAGCACAGCTCCTAGGCACCCGTTTATGAGTTGAGCTGCGTCGGCGTAATCAAGCGTTGCATTAAGGGCTGTTTCCCAAAATGACGTCACACGTGACGTCATGTGTGACGTCACGAGGGTAAAATTTTCCCGCTAAATTTTGCGGTAAAAGTTTTTGCTAAGTTTGGCAGATAATTTTTCCGCTAAATTTAGAGGAAACATTTTACCCGTGTGACGTCACGTGACGTCACACTTAAAATTTCAGATGATGTATCATGTGACGTCACACGTCAATTCAGCGGGGAAATTTCCCGACTAAATTTAGCGGGATATTTAGCGAAATTTTTACGCTAAGTGGGATGGGAACAGGAGAGGAGGATCGGAGGGTACGGAGGGGGAGCAGCTGGCATACCCTCCTCTTCGCACCCTTCCTCCCTCCTCCTCAAGAGCTGCACTCCAATTCGGCATTACAGAGAATTGTAAACGTCAATTTTTTTAACGTGTCTTTATTAAGGGGTATCGAAGCCGAGCGGGCTAGCGCCCACCTGATCGGAGTACGCGGAGAGAAAGCTCGCGCTGGAGAAGGAGAACCCAGTAATCCTGAGCTCAATCCCCAGCCCTGCCCGAAGAACACACTTCGAATGAAGTGAGTTCGGGGAGCACACTACGCTCGCTCCGGTAGACCAAGTGTGTAATCTCGATAGCAGTGTTCAAGGAGTTAAAATAATAGAAGAAATTAACTCTGCGTAAAATTAGTATTAGGAGTAATATTAGATGCGCACTTGTTTTCTGTTGGCAGGAAAGTAGTGCATTGTAGAAAAACAAGCGGCTAATCTAGTTTCCAGCCTTGGCCCCTGCGCGACGGCCAGGAGGCACCTGCACGACTCCACCAGGAATCTGAAGGTGGCAAGAGAGACGGGAAAGGATTGCTTGAAGTAGAACTCGCCCAAATGGGGCAAGGTGTCTTCGAACCACCGTTCGTTCTTCTCGAAAGTCCACCGTTGTCGACTGATCACGGGTAGGTTGTCGGTCATGAGAGCGGCTATGGTGAAGGCATTGGCCTGCAGCTGCTGATCGATGTCACTTGAAATTCTTGTCTGTGCGTCGGCATCCAGGTCCGGCTGCCTCTTATCTGAAAGGCGTTGGGCTCTCACGGAGAAAAGTGCCCCAACCATGCGCTTCCACTGTCCAACATCGCGGATATCGCACTCCAGCTCACCCTCCACACACTCCATGATGTTTCATTCTGGCGAGAAGCGAGTGGCCGAGTGGGCTCGCGCTCACCAGCTCGGAGCACGCGGAGCGAAAGCTCGCGCTGCAGAACCCAGGAATCCTGGGTTCAATCCCTACTTTTGCTCGTTTCGATCTGCACTCCGTTTCACCTTACGTTGTACCGCAGACAAGGCTAGATGCGCGAGCTCATAGCGTTGGGAGCTACTCTTAACGCACGAGAGCTTGTGCCGCCCTGATGTGCCCTAGAGCAAGGAGCTCGCGCTTGTAACATTTTCTGCGGTACATCATAAGGTGAAACAGAGTATGGTACCGGCGTGCGGACGTGTATCACTGGCTTGTGATGGCTGATCGTAATTATCAAATTGGATTTAAATTTTGCTTAAAGCTCGTGACTTAGCGCAACAATATGTGGTAACGTGTTTCTAATCAGACGACGAAGTTATTTATGACAAAATGACTATACACTCTAACATTTTGCGTGCGGATTACTTACCCATCATCATTGCCATCATTTTGGAGTGACACTAAGTTTTCCCGTGTAGCACCAACACACTTCAAGTGTGTTTCGACGGGTTGAAGTGCACTCGCTTGTAGTGACACTAAACTAGCCCGTCTGACAGGGGTATAAGATGCTTTCTGGGGTCGCTTGAGAAGTGACCTCGGGCTTGTTTTTCAGTTCGCTGGGTATGTGTGTTTCCCCACCAGGTGCATGGGGGGTTTGGGAGAGGTTTAACCGGTCCAGCTATTGGCCGTGTTAAGTCCTGGTCTGTCCATTAAGGTTTCTCTTTTCCTTTTTTCCGTCTCAAAGTGTATCGGTGCTTCCGTGTCAATAAACTCAGCTGCGTTTGAGAGCTTGTGTTGTCTTGTCCGTTTTTTTATTTCCCCTTTTCTCAAGGTTTTCAACTTCGTCGTTTAACCATGCAGCTCGCCTGCACTCTTTCCCTTATGGTAATGGTGTTTTGTTCACTAAACTGTTTTGTATATTCCCCGGATTTTTTAATAACATATACAATACAATACAATATACAATAACATATACAAAATACAATATTTGCTAGATATGAAATAATGAAGCCATAGGAGCCTTACATTTTGTATTAGCAAATACATTCTGTATGGCTATATTCTAAAGAGTAAAACGTTTTATTAATGAACAAGCAAGACATCATAAATCATCACATACAAGCCGAAGCACATCAGAAAAAGCTCGTTAATTGCCACGACAATCGGCGTCTAACAAAGCGCAGCTTCGTTACAGAAGGATGGCGCCAGGATGTGGAGATGCATCCGAGATCAGGCAGTTGTACTCCATCATCAGGAAACACGCTGAACTTCTGCAGAATTGTCGCCAGGTACAGGAACATTTCGATGTTTGCCAGGTTTTCTGCTGGACAAATTCTTTTCCCTGAAAGCAGTAATGAACGGTATAATTTTTGTATTGTGAAAGATGCATGCTCTAAGCGGTGAGACGTTAATTTAGGTTGAAAAAAAAAAAATCATTTGAGCGCATTATCTTGATTTTTTAATGGATCGATCGAACAGTTCATCGCTCGATTGATTGACTAATTTATTTATTGACTGACCAACTTATTGATGAATTGATTGATCTCACCAAGCGAGAACGCGATGTAGTGTTCCGGTTTCTTGGAGAGTTCGCTGCCGTCGGCTGTTAAGAATCGCTCTGGATCAAATTGGTCCGGATTCTCCCAAAGCTCTGGATTTCTGTGTACTGCCATAACATTCGCCACAACCGCTGTTCCTTTGGGAATCAGGTACTCCCCGATGGAGGTGCCTTCTTGTACTCTAGAAAAAGGAGAGGTCAGACAATCTTCAACGTACAATGTAGACGTTTGAAGACAGTTCGTCCAACGTATACTGTATATTGCAGCGGCAGCAATTCGTTTTACTGCCTATTTCGAAATAAATAGCGCGAAGGTCAAGAACAAACTGACGGTACAAGCGCTAACTCACAACTGTAGTTTTAATAATCACACAGAAGACGAGAAAGAGGTAGCGTTTCTCTCATGTCTTTCTTTTCGGTATGAAAAAATTCCTAAAATGAAATTGTCTTGATGGAAGAGGAAGTTACGTTGAGGGAACTGAGAAATAACAATAAAGGAAAAGGGCGTTACGTAAAAAAAAAAAAAAATAATAATTTCGCTTGGCTGAAATGACGGAAAGCGCCATGATGTGCATTTAGAGCTTGATATCTTCTCTATTTTTTAGTTGAAAACGCCGGTAATATTACAAAAGTAAATTCATATATGACAAAAAAAAAACACTTTATAATAAGTCGTTCTAGCCAGAGGGAGGAGGCCACTAACAGTACAATCCTAAGATTAGGAATGCAGGTAACCCGACTGAATCATTATTACGTTCCTGTAGTAAAAACGTCTCCAAAAATAAATATAAAGTATTGCCGCTTTTATTATATTCGACCTCTGAGTAAAACCATAAAGTAAGCCCAGGTTACTGGAGGTGAGTAGATAATGTCACGCAAATAAAAAGTAAAGATATTTGTTCATTCGTTTGATAACACCATATTACATTTCCGTTATTTATCCTATAAAGCGTTTTCACATAAAAATGTAAGATGCACATTTTTAGGGGGCAGTTTTCTACTAAATCAAGTTACTTTTCCTGCTTGTAGAACTGCGGCAGTTTTATCTTCTTATCTTTACGTATATTTTATTTTATTTCAGAAATGTGCAGATCAGATGTCAAACACATAACGGCGGAACATACATACATGGACACACGCGTCATAAAATACAAACTCGAAATAATATTAAGTGGCACAGTGAAGCAAACATCTGGATTCTTTTTAAACGAAACTAATGTTAATGGAATACACACAACACTTGTATTAAGTCGTAAGACATCCTTAAAATATAAGAAAAGCGTATTTATACATAAAAATGTCACCTTAGTGTGGCTAAAACACTAGTTTGTATAAACTCTCTAAAACTTTCCTAAGGAAGACACCGGAAAAAGTTTCTGCTTTGAGACTGTGCGAATAAAAACAAATTAAAGTTGCTCAAATGAACAAATGTGCGTTTAACAGATTGTGTGACAATATCATGTGCAAGCCACGCATCTTATCTGAACAAAATATTGAGTGTTAGCTTTTATTGCTATGATCGCAGTTGTGCTGTAATATTTCAATGTATACTTTATATGCGCACAAAGTATGCCCTCTTGTTCTTGCAAAACTGAATAAATTGAGTTCATAGAGCTGGCATTTATTTGCACGTTTATGACACCCTTCCAACTTTAGAACTTCTATAAAAAAAAAAGTTAAAGGCAGAGGAAAAACAATTTTACATCGGCACGCAGACACAGGATCATATTTCTCTTCCCCCAAAAAGCACTATCCTCCGAAGAAACTTCTCCAACGAGTTGTTAGTAGGGTTGCGTGTGATCGGTAAACACCTTGAAGCCCAGAACCTGGTTTATTTAAATCGAAAAAAAAAAAAAAGCCGCCACATTAAGTTGTCTTTGAAACGAAAGATACCAAGCTTCGCTGAAAAAGATTTGTTTGTCTACAGATTTATTTTGTGTTGAATCGGAGCACAACCCCCCCGGGGCTGTTAGTGAGGCCGTTTCTTTTGTCGGGAACCTTGTCCCGTTTACTTTTATAATTGGTACAGGATTTTCTTTCAGTTATTCGGGTCACGCGAATGGTCCCAGGAGGAAGAGGAATTCCATGCCCGTGTGCTGATTTCTTTGACAGGAGCCCCGATAAAAGCAGATTTTTTGTCCGATGCCGAAACTTTGACACAAAAATATATTAACACCGAAAAAAAATCAACGAGAAAATGAACACCGAAAACATGAAACTAGTTATAAATTAGGTAGAGGAAAGTGTTTCATGTAGAAAACGAAGCAACGATCAATCAGGGCACAACCCCAGGCACTGCTCGCTAGCTCTCAAGCTCAAGGTTAGAAAACACAATAAAAGGAGAAGAACAGCAATATTTTACCCTCTAGGCATTCCAATGGGCTCCGTGACCTTCCACCGTGTTATCTCAAGTACGCTGGCCATGGTAAACGGCATCACCTTGCGGTCCTCCCATGTGGGCTGTCTGTCACGGCCGACAACGTCGTCGACCTCTTTCTGAATTCTGGCTTGCACCCTTTCCGGATTCTGCGCGCACACCAGCAGCAGCCAGTGGATCATGACTGGCAAGTTGCTCGAGGAAGAGAAGAAGAGTTCCACGGTGTTACCCACCAGGTGGCACACTGCACAAACACATAGGATAGCAACGCTGTGTATGAGTCTCCTTGCGGTGCGGATTCTTCCTTTATTGCGCAATTAGGCACACGCACAGATTACGCGACAGCACTATATCAATTGTACGCGATGGTCCGAGGTAGGATCTTTTTCGGTGAAAAAGAGAGGAAGAAGACTTGTGAAAGAGGAAATACTAATCTTGGAGTCATAGCCAAAACACAGACGGTCATCATTAGTTGCGTGGGGAACAGCTGATAGAAGAAAAAATGTTGATATGAAAAGAGAAAATGGCTCGCCAGTGTCGACTTCGCGACGACGGATGGGAGCGGCAACCGGGTGCTAATACTACCTGCATATATGTTTTTGGAATCATGCGTTCCCCATCTTCTTATCTAGGCCTAGCACTTGCAGGCCGTGGGGAGCCTTGTGATGGCTGCTTCCCGGATACGAGGCCAGGCCGCATTCGTCAAAGAGGGCGGTGTCTTTCTGGCCCTTTAGGGTGAATGTGCCGCCGGCACACCCTCGAGAATTATCGTGGATGCGACCCATATCCTGGAGAATCCTATAACCGGCAGCCCCGGATGCATACATTTCCCGCATGCTATATAGGCGGCCCAAAACAACAGGCAAGGGATGGGGGAGGCTCTGCTCGACGGAGCCCTGCTTTCTTGTCATTCTCTTCCCCCTTCCGTGATCCCGCCAATAGAGGCAGCGCGGCTCCGAGTGCCGATGTTGGCCTTGGGGCAAATCTGGTGGCACTTGAGTCGATAAACACGCCGTTATACAGACCCAAGGAACCTGCTCTGTTTACACGCGGTGCCCCCCAAAAGGTGAAACCCACAATGCCGATGTTTATGAAGGAGTTGAATGTGAGAAAACATAAAACTACACCTTTTTCTCGCTGCTGCTATGGAAGATGGAATGCGGCAGCATTAGGGATTATTTACCTGTTGCTAACGGAATACCTGGACCACCTCACTGCGCGCTGCTCCTACGAACAGCTGTAATGAGCTCACGTTACAGTTTTAAGATTATACCATAACGCCCGTTCTTAATGTGCGCGGCTGGTACGTGCTGACGTCCCCTGGCCGGTTGTAAAAGGGGCATATTCAAAAGAATTGCAGCGGTGGTCAGCATGACTACTGCTTTGCTACACAGCAGTTACCCTCGATTTTCCATGGTCCGACAAGATAGTCAGTATGGACAGAATGTGGATTTCTGTGCTATTCTGCGGGCTTTTATAAGTAACTTTGGACTTTTTTTAACTCTACTTTTTTGTGTTTTTTTTGGTTATATCGTGACTTTTATTTTTTCCGTGACGTAAAATTACTCGATATGATCAGATGACAGAGTCACGTGATTTACTATTACTGAGGAGATCGAACTATAGGGGGCGCTGCGTCCAGCTTGTTTTCCCCAGAGTTCTGTTTTTACCAACGATAGAGGGGGTCGGTTTCAAAACTCGATTCCCGGCGTGGCACCATTTCGTAGAGTGCGCGAGAGGTGGCACTATAGTCGCCCTAATATCGATTCTCAGCGGGGTCTCGTACTCATCGTTGTTCCTCGTGTTTTCGATCGTGTCATGAGGGCTCGTCGTAGGTTCGTAAGTGTTCTTTTTGGCACCTGGAGCTTTGGGTAGTTCGCAAATTAACGAGCAAGCATGCCGACCTGCGGTGCCCCCGGCTGTCGCAGCGGGTATTCGACTGACTAGAGTCGAAAAGTGAAGAAAATCGCCACTTTACTGCTCCAAAGGATTCTGTGCGCCTGAAATTATGGCCAAACGCGATCCACCAAAAAAAGTTAACACTCACATAAAAAAAAAAAAAAACCCTTTGTGGTGTTAGCATTTTCAGCCCGACGACATTAATAGCTAATAGACGTACGTCATCGATAGGCAGACGATTCTGATGATAAAGGTCAAATGGCAAAACAAAGATGCTCTTCCGAGTCTGTTTTCGAATGTCCCCGCACATTTTTTACAACCAACCACGAAAAGCAGGAAAAGAAAGGCCCCAACCGATCGAAGCGTTGTTTAGGCTGCAGGCAGTTCTGTTGCCCCTGATGTGACAATTACATACGATCCCTAAGCAGACGACGATGACAGCAACCTAACAAACACGCGCACAGATATCTTTGACATCTGTTCAGGAACTCCAGAAACACAGTCGCCAGTGAAAGAAATATAACGTCAAAGGACGTCCGAGGATCACAGGATTTTCTTCAAGCTTGTGGAGAAGCAAGGCGTACTTTTTGAGCTGAGGGCTGCCCCATTAAAAAAAAGATCTTCCTCTGGTTGTCACCAAAGTAAGTGCCAGAGCAAGTTGTAGGAGTCAAAGTGCGACTCAGCCAAGGCTATCAACACTCGAGGGATTGAGAGTATTCTTGGGCTATGTTCACTCCCGCAGAGATCATGCCGGATGCCCCTGTGAATCGTTTCCAACTACAAAAACCCCGCAACAGCCGTCTCGAATCGTCGATTTCTAAAAATGGTGGATTTACAGCTCGGGATCTGTTGATAATTCCAAAACCAATGCAAGCTAGCGGAGGATTCGCAGCGGATCTGGTAGAGCCTGTAGCATACCATGCAAGTGATGCAAGTGCAGCAGACGACGCAGGGAGAACCGATGTCACGTAAGGCCTTAATGTCACGGCGACGGCAGCACCACTGTTTCGCCCGCCACCGCAGCGGCCCCCGCTCCACCGGTGAATGCCGCTCGAGCTCCCAAACTGACCCCCTCTAGTAATGTTGGTGTTTGCCAACACAAGGCACGTGCAGTGAAGTATTTACTCGATCTTTCTCGATTGTTCGCGGGACTAGGCTTGGACACGAGTAGTGCCAAATATTTTGCTGTGTCCACGTTCGGCATCATTGATTGAATACGAGCCCCAGCAAGACGTTGACGTAACGTTCGGCTACATGGGCCGAGCGTGCGTCAAAATACAGACAAATAATATTTGTTGTTGTTGTCCCCATTGGTGTAGTTCTCAATTTAGCCACTAAAGGCGCGACAGTTCGATCCCCTTTCCAATAGACCATTCTAATAAGACCTCTCTGCAGGATGCCATATCTGTTTGTTGTGCTTTCGAACGCAATTCGAACATGTGCACTAGGTTTTCGGTGGAATATCAGACCTGTCTCAGCTTTTTTTTTCTTGCCTGGTTAATAAGCGCTAGAAATGGATACACACTTCTCTATTTTACCCCAGATTTTTTAAATATTTTTCGCGACGTAACATCATGTTATGGGGTCATGTACGACATAGTTAAACTGTTACCCACTCACTTCGCGACCTTGGCATAGCAAATTAATCTCTCGGTCTTTAAATATCCTCTTGCTAGATAGAGTCAATAGATAATGAAACGAAAGTACCCCCTTTGTACACTGGAAGAATGTCGGGCTCAGAATCTTGGGGTCCTGGATTCCATTCTCGTTCGAAGATGTTCGAATTTATTTTTCTTCTCAATTATGCGTTCTTGGGCGTGCAAACATTTTTTCTTCTAAACTGTGTGCTTACAAACACGCACGACTGAATGCGTAGGTGTCAATTTAAAGTTGATCGCATTTAATATAAGCAGGCTATCAGAATATGCTCGTTCAGCAGACTTGGACGTAGTTCAACTACTCTACTCAAACTACTGTAGTTTAACTACTTTTCCGAGTAACTTGGTAACTTTCAATTACAACTCTATTTGGGTAATTAGTAGTTTAATTTAACTACATTTTTCAGGTGACTTCTACTCAAATTACTAACTACTTTTGAAATTTAATCCTATTTTTTTTTCATCAGAAAAGTTTGAGTGCAGAAATAAATAAGACGCTGGCAGATTAAGTGGTATTCACGAACAAGGGGCCCCCTCACATTCCGTTCCCACGCACTTACACTCGGCAGTCCTACAAACTGCATCACAGGCGTCCTTGGGCCAAGATGGCGACGACGAGCAGCCAAAACATAACACCGGAGCGCACGAGCGCAGTTAGAGATGCTTGACAAGCCTTGGTCGGGTGTTGACCTAATCCGATAATGCAGGCAAGCGCCGCGTTTCCAGCTGCAAACGTGAAAGACGGGGACACACCGAGGGTTGTTGTTGTTTTCATGGTGTGCCTTTAGTGAGTTCTGACTCAAGTGGTAGGTTCCACGGTAGGCGCCACTGGGATGACCTCGAAGCTGGGCGCCTGTTCTCATGGTCGTCTCGTCGTCAGCGCATACTTTCTTGCAAAGCCGGACTCCCCCGGGCATAAAGGCAGACACGGATAATCCGTTCATGGGAGCACGTTCCCGCTTCCAGCTGCAACTGTACGAGCGCCGATGCTTGTTCACGTAATTTTTCGCGTCCTTCCGTCCTTCCACGCAAGGGAGACCTCCTCTTTGTTGAAAACGTTTTACTTGTCAGGAGCGTCAGGATACCGCAGTCGCCGGCGAGGATTTCGAGTCACCCTTGGGAGATCCTTTTGTCGAACCATACGTCAACGGCAAAAAACAAATTTTTTTTTTTTAAATGGCGTAGCTATAACATTGCAACTAGGCGCGCAGTCGTCCGGATGATCTCATCGTTGTGGCGCGAGACTTGATTCCTTGACGGTCAGGTGCACTCGCTCGGCGAAATCTCCGAACGTCGTAAGAATAAAGAGGGGCAGTCATAACAATCTCAACTTTCCGAAGGAAAAAAAAAAGAGTTTGTTATAAAAAAAGAAACCTCTAGCCGAGGCAAGCCTCACATGTTTCGTCATGGACACCAAAGATGCCGACACTCGCTTACCCGACCCTGCACAGCCTGCTTCTGAAATTGAACGCTGTCTTTGCATCCAGCGCCACGGTGGAACCTCTTCTTAGCTTGACCGAGGACGTCATTAGAAGGAAAAGAGGAAAACTCTCCGATAATTACTTTGAAAGACAATTGCTTCGGCGAGCGAATAAACTATTTTGGAAGTCATAAAATGACGGCATTTATTTCCGGCTCGCAGGGTTTTTCACTGATCAAAACTTCTGTTCATTTTGCTGCCACAAAAACATAAAAAGTAACTTCGAAAGTAACTTCAGAGTAATTCGCTACTTTTTTAGAGTAGTTAGTAGTTTACTCAATTACTATCACAAATGCGTAATTTCTACTCTACTTCAACTACTTTTGGCGTTGATACTCAGTAACTTAACTTAACTACCTTTTTTGAGTAATTTGTACATGTCTGTCGTTCAGTCACCCACATAGACATGCCGAGCACGGCCTTGGCTTCTTGTCGGGGTTCACTCATTCAGGCCTGTCGGTAAAGGCTCGTGATGAGCAAACACCACAGAAGTCTGTGTTTTCCATTCTAACTAATTTATAACCTGCAATCTCGAATATCATCACGAACTCGTTCAATCCCTCATCGAAACCTAAAATTCACTGCCGCAATTTTTGCCTTCATCTTAGGTTGAAAAAGGCGACGCACGATTTCATGGTTCAGGATAACTGTGCCGCGCTTTGTACATTTACCAAGTTTGTAATCCTCTTCCAGCACGAAAAGCAGCGTGCGCGCATAAGTGTGCAATGAAAGCGCTTATTTTGGTCAGAAATACCCTTCAGTAGATTTGTGCATTTTGAACTCGCAACAACGTAGAAATCCGGAAGAGTACGCGCAGTCTTCGAGAGAATTGGCGAGAACGACTCTTGGCTATACCAGGAAACAAATATTGCATTATGTCCTTAAACTTACTCGTACAAGTCCTGTTTTAAGTATTTATGATTAAAAACATCAATGATATTTTCGCACCTATTTTTTTTTGTCAAATCACAAGACTTTACTTGACCTACAGAATATGCGATGTACAGTGATTGTTCACGTTCTGTTGGACAACGTCCAACAGTTGCAGTGCTGGTGCAGTGCTAGTTCTACGCTACTGAAAAAAAATTGTATACTTCGCCGCTGACGTCGAGTCCAACAAAAGGATGTCCCAAGGGTGACTCGCAATTCTCGCCGGTGACTCCGGTATCCTGACGCGCCTAACACGCCTGACAAGTAAATCGCTTTCAACAAAGAGGTCTCCCTGGCATTGGAAGGTCGGAAGGACGAGAAGGATTACGTGAACAAGCATCGCAGCTGGAAGCGGGAACTTGCCCCTGTGAACAGATTAATCATGTCTGCGTTTGTGCGTGGGGTAGTCCGGCTTCGCAAGGGAGTATGCGCTGACGACGATGCGACCATGGGAACAGACGCCCAGCTGCGAGGTCATTTCAGTGGTGCCTCCAGTGGAACCCCCAAACCGCTTGAGGCAGGACTTGCTAAAGGCAGACAACATGAAAATAACCACCCTCAGAGGGGTCTTTTACGGTTGCAGCTGGAGGCGCGGCGCCTGCGTGTATTTCCGGATTAGGTCAATACCCGACCAAGGCTTGTTAAGCATCTCTTCCTGCGTTCGTGCGCGCCGGTGTTATGTTTTGGCTGCTCGTCGTCACCTTGGCCAAAAGACGCCTGGGATGCAGTTTCTACAGTTACCGAGTATAAGTGCGTGGGAACGGAATGTGAGTGGGCCCCTTGTTCGGGAATGCCATTTCATCTGCCGGCGTCTTATTTACTACTGCGCTCAAACTTTCGTGATGAGTAAAACTAGCACTGTATTTGAAAAGTGGTCAGTAATTTGAGTAGAAGTTACCTGAAAAATGTAGTTAAGTTAAACTACTAATTACCCAAATCAAGTTGTAATTGAAAGTTATCAAGTTACTCGAAAAAGTAATTAAACTACAGTAGTTTGAGTAGAGTAGTTGAACTACGGCCAAGTCTGCGTCTTTCCTTGGTTATCACCTCGGCAATAATAGATTTTACAAGAATGTTGCGTTTTTCTTATATATTTTATTCCTAAAATTTATTTTGAACTGACCAAGGGATAAATCACTTTGCAACCAGTAAACGCTCATGTTACAATTATTTACGACGATCGATATATCTGGGCATCTGCGCTTCACTCTAAAAAAAAAAGGGTATCACCTTACACCCTTTTGTCCCCTATAATACACCCCAAAACTTCATTTCGACGTACAGTGCCCTCCAGTCGAACAGACGGCACAAAATTTTGCCAGGGGCTTGATAACAGTGCGATATAACTTATTAAATTGCTAAAGTACGTATCAAAGACCAAAGAAAGAAAACACGGAGCTTTCGCAGTACGGCCAAGAAAACTCCGATAGTCTTTTTTGTATTCAATAATACGTACATCAGCTATCTTAATAAGTTGTACCAAACGGCTACCAAGCCCCTCGTAAACTTTGGGGCCGCCTGTTCTATTATGGGGCGCTGTACGTCGAATTGAAGTTTTGGGGTGTATTATATGGGACAAGGGGTGTAATAATACACCTTTTTTTTCTGAGAGTGTTCCTAGTGGTCATGTTTTCGCTTCTCAACATAGCTGCATTTAACAAAAGTAGTAAGGGTAACTAGCTCGACTGTATTGGCTAGTAATAATCACTAAACAAACTTTCGAGCTATACACAACCGAATTTTACTACCTGTGGCGTAAATTATGCAGTACACAGCTAGTAGAAAGGTAGTAACGGCCACATAGCTGTAGTAGTTTCAGCATTGACTAACTACTTACTAACCTTATTGAAGAGTGTAGTGCTCGAGGGATTAAACACTATATGGTTATTGCAGCGGCAACTGGGCGCTACACATATCCTTTGACAACCTACCTTGAAACGCAGAATTGGGATCATGCCGGTGCTTCTCAACTTTCTTGAGGAAGGCATCAATGAAGTCTCGGGTCACGTCTGCCTGTATTGTCTCTTCGTGTTGTTTAACTTGATCCCTAAGAATAAAAAAAAAAACACTTAATACTATGACATGTACATTCTTCAATTGTTTTATTATTTTTGTATTCAGGCGAGTATCTCGGGTTATCTCAAGTGACAAGCATAAAGAAATGGCCAATATTTTATACAAGCATGCCATTAAAACCTTCAGCACATAAGTGTTGGGTGGTTTTACCTTGTCTTAGAAGCTAAAGGTTTTCTAATGGATTAGGCGAAAAAAGCTTTTTAATTTCTCAGCAATCATCTTGACCATGTGTCAGCAATTCCAACACACCTTCACTGTTGCTATTGTATACGTAAATTTGGTTTAAGTTGATTGCAAAGTGCGAACGACAGTCTGAGCTTATCAAAATCAGGGCGGTCGACTACGAAAAATCTTGATATCTTCTTACTGCTTTTAAATATATAAACAAATAACTTTGTTATTACGCTTAAAAAATATTGGGAAGAGGTAAAATCGCTGAATCACAGCACCAGAACAATTACTAATAATCACTACTGACATCATTTTTTGACACCACACCTCGCACGTTTTGGTCACAGGTCAGACACTTATCGTACATTAGCATGCAGAACATGTTGGGGTTTTAATTCTCGTGTATTATTAAAATTGTCGAGGTTGTTGTTTTGGGGGGTCAAGTTTCAAGGAAAAATAGTAATTCCTCAAGCCATGACAATTATATTTGAAATATTAGTTGTTCTCGGAAGTCTTCGCATGATTAATTATTTATTTGGGTACTTGTAGATGCAGAACATAAGAAGGCAGAGCATCGCAAACATGCATAATTGCGTGTTAAAATAGATTTGAAAAAAAAAAGTCTGACTAAATCCGTTGCACGCAGTCGAAGGCAACGTAAATCTCGCATAACCCTAGCAGAAAACAACAACAACATGAGCCTCCAACTCGTATAGAAAACATAAATTGTCAGAGTACTTCATACACAATCATAACCACAGGCACGATTCAACCCAATCAGCGATCTTCTCAGTGGCTTCACCAAGCGCTCACGCGATCCGCAGTCTAGCTGACGCCTTTGCTCGGCGACACCAGGGTGATTTTTTATTATTATTTACTGCTGCGCCACAGGTAGAAGATGAAGGCGAGCACAAGCAGTTGGACTACGTACGGCTTCCCGTTGCCGGTCCCCGGCGTTAGCACGCGTCTCTCCGCGGCGAGTGATACTTAGTTTAGCATGCATAGTCCGCAGGCGACCGTCGGCGGCAGGGCATATTGAGCCCAGCATAATTAGTTCGCAGGCGACTATCGGCTGCGAATTTTACTTAGTCCGCAGGCGACCGTCGGCGCGCGCAGTTGGCTCCCGAGCAACTAAGCGTCGGTCCCCACGTGGACTCGCGTCGGGCGGATCATAAAGTACCAAGGAATAGCGAAGCAGGCGTATATGACGTCACAACTTTGGATAACAGATAGCGTAAAAGACACAATAAACCCCCTTCTCTTGCGACAGCTAGAGCACTATATAGCTCCTACGGAGCAGAGTAGCGCAATTCTTTGAACCCCGTGCTTTGCCGACAACATGGCCGACAGAGCGGCTCGGCGCGAGTCACGTGGTACTCAGGGTTCCAGGAGGCGGCCCGCCCTATGGGAAAATACATGGAGGTCGACATAACACGGCTGATTAAAAAATTAACGGCGAGTTCACACTTTTCAAAACTAGCCTGTCGTGAAGTTAGTAAAGCGCTAAACACTTTATCAAAGTTTTAATAATATCGGATGCGTGTGCAAATTTTGAGAAGGCAATTTCCAATGCAATGGCGTTTGAAGCAGACGATTTTTGCTCGCAGCGGAGATGGGCTTTTCGGGTTGGCCGGAGCGGGTCACGTGAAAGGTGTGACGTCGCCGTGTCGTCTGCTGCGTGATGCCGCTCAGGCAATTATTTAAAAAAAGTTACGTCCTTGTATGGCACAAAACTTATCGCATATTATTCTAAAATGTTTCATTATTATGTCAAAAATGATTGCCATTCCGTACATCCCAACAAAACTGAAGAAACAACGATTTTCTCACGTTCTCCATGCATTTCTGACCGCAGTTGGAACCTCCGGGCGTTCGCCGCTAGTCGCCGAGAGACGGCGTTCTAGATTGCGCTACTCTGCTCCGAAGGAGCTATATAGTGCTCTAGCGACAGCCACAGTTACCATCAAGGGATCCCTAGCAATACAATAGCACCAAGAATTTGAGGCTCTGCAAACACTCAAGGAAAAAGCAGGACCCGTCGAAAACTCGTCATGAAAGCATACTCATGACATACTCCACCAAAGAATAAATTTAACCTTGTTTTGATCATTCCCATAAGCGCGGTGAGCGCGTTAGTGTGTGTAACGCGTCCAAGAACACCCAAAGCTCCCCGTAACTAATTAGTCACAATAAAACATAACACTCGCATAAAGGACGCACGAGATATTTTGTTGTTCCCGGGCTTATTAGAATGATCGAGACAAGTTTCAATATTTTATAAAATTATTGCGAGGGTTTGTTGCACTATATTTAGTGCTTCATTCTTGATAATCATATGTAATGTGTTCCTCACACTAAGTCATCGGCTTACCACTAGTGTCTTTTCGCTCACTAAGCGTCACACAGTTGATTTTCTGTGAAATGCAAAATGTGAGCTCGTCAAATTTACATCGCACAATTTAAGCCTAATATGGGTAAGTTCGCCCACGTGTGCGTCTGTGCGTGTCTTTTTTTTTACGCAAATAAGGTAAATAAGAGAAGAGAAGCTCTTCCGATTCCGCAAGACCGAAAGACGTTGAGAACCCAAGAGGTTAGACGCTGACATATGCGGAGAGAGCTTGATCACTATTTATGCGAGACAAAACGTGTGCGCGGAAGGCGGAGTTTTTGATTTCAAATGTTACACATCAGATGACGCTGAGTCTTTAATTTAAACATCTGTAGCAATTGTTTTCTCAATGTAAGTTTTGTGTATGCCTTATTTGCGGTATTCAATTGGTGGCAATGACAATAGATCAAGGCGCGCCTCCGTGGAAAATTTTGTTCTCCAGGTAACATTGTTTTTGTTTGCAGCTAAAGTACAGATCTATCTGTACGTGTGCGATTGTGCGCGCGCGCCTGTGTGCGCGTGTGTATGCATCCGTTCGTGAGTGCGTGCGCGCGTGCCTGGGTGTGTGTCTGTGTGTGTCTATGTGTGTAAGGGCATAGGCTTGTGCTTGTTTTCGTGCGGGTGCGTGCGTGCGCGTGCGCGTCTGTGTATAAGAGTATTTGTGCGTGTGTCTGTGATCATTATCTTCAGCTCCGAGTTGCAGTGTGCTAACACACGCTTGGCCACCAAACCCCCCATTCCGAAAAATTCTCAAATCTGTAGTGAGATTGGGTTATGCCGCGCTTCGCATAAATCCGTTGTTCCTAATGACGCGCGCGTTCACACTGCCAATACATAATACAAGATACAGTGTACGGACACCCGTCTGAGGCGCGTTCCTTCACTGTTTTTGCCACACTGGTCATAAAAATAGCCTCTCTGAAGACATGTTTGATGTACACATATATGCAAAAGCAGACATGCCTCGAAGAGGCGTTTCTCTAGTTAATTTTGTCACCGTGTCTGCTGCGAACACCGTGTCGGTTGTACGATATTTGAGCAGTGGCGTACCAACTCGTTTTTGAGTAAGGGGGCAAACCAACCGCCTCCCCCGGCGGTGCCCTTAGTATCCTTTGGGCGCCGCCGGCCAGTCTTTGTCCTGCCCAGTGGCGGCTGTTTGGGGGGGGGGGGGGGGGCAAACACATGCCTTGCCCCCCCCACTCTTACAACGGGGGGGGGGGGGGGCAAGTGTCCCCCTTGCCCCCCCCCCCCCCCCTCCCCGGGTTGGTACGCCCATGTTTGTGAGCAGTGGGATTGTGGATATGGTTACGTGTACAAAGATATCTTTCTAAAGATAGAGCCTTACCCGATGAAGTCGATCATTGCGAGACGACACCTGCGCATAGCACCCGTCCTGGTGAAGGGCAGCCTAGCCTCGACTCGACACAGCCATTGAGGTTTGAATTGGATGATCGGGGCGCAGTGGATTCGCTCTATGAAGTCCCCGGCGAGCTTCGCTAGGTATTGGCACTTTGGGTCGCCTAGACGGTATCTGGTTCCCAACAAGAGGGCGCTAATGTTGTTCAGCAGGCTTTGGAGAATCAACTCGAAAACAGGGATGCCACGTTCTTTGGCTCCGTCGATCTCGTTGACAAGGTTCAACAACTCCTCCTGAAAAAAAAAAAGGAAAAAAAAATTGCAAGAAATATTTTAGAGCATACACACGGCTTTAGCAATGCTGTTAAGCAAAATTCACATGGAAGCTGTGTTCAGTTATCAGAATTTAAACATACCAAAGACAATATTTTTCTTTTCTTTGGGGAGAGCGATGCGAGAGGGCAGATGGATGAATGGATAGATGGACACGGCTATAAACCTTTTATTGAGGCGGCGGAATACGCAACCTAGCCAAAGGTTTTTAAATCCAACGAATAACTAATTTCCTATTAAATTCTTATTTAATTGAGGAGGGCAAAGAATCTCATATAACCGATAAGAACGAGCATTCATCTACCATTCTCACCGCCACTGGACAATGTTCGCAGCGGCAGCGGTGGTTCGACCGTCACAAACATGGAGGAGGAAGTTTTCGACCCTTTTCCAAGCACCACCAGGCGGCGGTGCATGCGAATCGGTGAAATGGAGGAACGGGAGCAATTTCCTCCCCTTCCAATGGCGACAGGGAGGAGCATAGCTTTTTCCTCCATTTCTCCTCTCTTTTTTGTTTTAAGAGTGTAGGAGCTCGTGCCGCAGAAAATCAGGCGTCAGTGCGACCAAGAAATGCCCTAATGCAACGCGCGCAGCCACGTGTGACGTAAAGCGTGCGACGTCACACCTGGGTGTACCGGCATAATTCTATCAACCCACTAAATTTGGCCAAAAGATATCGCGCTAAATTGAGAAAAAATTTCACTCCACATTTAAGCGGAAAATTTTCCCGCCAAATTTAGCGGAAAATGTTCGGCTAAAATTGGCAGGTCGATAGGGTCATGACGTCACAGTCACGTGTGACATCACGCAAAATGACGTCATGTGAGGTCACGTGACACGTGACGCTACCGACTAGACCACTCACACAGGCTTGCACGGATTGGGAACGAGCGCGGGTTTATATTCGACAAGGCTTTTCGATTACGTCCTTATCGCGTTCCACATTTAAAGGCGAAGCTTAAGCGCCCCCCGTGTTTTTTTTTCCGGACTGTAGTCATTAGGGAGTTTGGAGTAGGGGACCCCGACAACGTTCGGTGATCCGCGCAGCTTGGAGCGTTACACTGAGCACGCGCAGACGTTCTGCGCATGCCTGGTGCGACGCCCCAAGCAGCTCGTGGGACCCAAAGCGCTGGTGCTTCCTACTGTAAACCTCCCTATAGTCGGTTACAAGTCTCCCCCCAAAAAGGTAGCAGAAACTCCTCCCACAAGCGTGATGCGCCCGTTTCAAATCCTTCCGCAGTCGAAAGAAGAGTTCACTGGAAACGCTTCTTCTTCCGCTTCAATGGATAGATATTGTCTACAGAGTGATGCCAACTTGTCTCCGACCCACACTTTTTAAGAAAGCGACCTTTGTATTCATCGGAGAGGGAACCGAGCCCCTGAAAGTAGCCTTTGTATTCATCGGAGGGGGAACCTAACCCTTGAAAGTCGTATTTGTTTCCATCGGAGGGGGAAAACTCTGATCTCCTTCTCGTGGCTTCCGCAACACTAAGTCAAATTTGAAAGATAAGGAAGATATTTACGGGAAGGCACGACCCTCCTTCCGCGTTGACCGCGACGTCACGGAAACGATGGGACGCTATTGGATACAGAGGTGGCGTAGGGATATACGAATCCGTTTGAAGTGCCGCTACTTTCTTGATCTGTAACTTACTATAATTAAAAACAATTTTGCGATGCATTTTTTTTTATATTACGCGTTCTTACTGCGTTAGAGAGCATAAAAATGTATCGATGTTCGTGTTGTCCTGAAAGCCAACGAGGTAAAGGGTTTGGAGCGATAAACTGGGGTTCCTGTCCGCACATGGAAGTTACCCCGTCCAGGCCGCCGCCACTGTACGCAAATGTAACTACTCGTCACGTGACTTAACCAAATACGTCACTCCAGGGGCCAAACGACAGCGTCCAGGCAGTGGCTGGCCCCAGGTGGGTCGGAGCTTGTCGGATGCGTTTTTCGCTGTCGTTCGTCTGAGCGAGTTGATTTCAGATGCCGGAGCTCTGACGTGAAACTGGCCGAAAGCGACTTCTGAGTTGATTGCAGTCTCGCACGTAGGTATAACGTGAAAATACGGAGAAACTTTTAGTGCGCATTTCTCTGGCGATCGGCCGTGATATCGCCACGAAAGAGAGAAAATCGGCCCTGCGTTGCTCGGACCTGGGATTGATTCGGGTATCCCTAGAATATAATTTAGCGCGACGTTTTTGTAGTCTCGTTGACCATCTGAATCTCCGAGGTCGGCAGTGAAGCGTGTGCAATGTACTCAATCAGTAGTAGACAAAATACTCGAGAAAATTATTTAAAATAAGTTACTAAATACCCGCTTAAAATTATTTAGAGTACTACCCAATCCACGTTCCCTGCAAAATATAGTGAGTTGAGTAGAAATACTTAGTAATGTAATTTAATTACTTTTAAAAGTACTTCTGTATTGCGTAATATTGACTTCAAAGACACGAGAATAATATATTTGCTAGTAGCAGAAACAAAGAAAACAAAATCGCAGTGCTCTTCTATGCAGTCTACAAGGAGTAGTATCACACTGGTGAATGTTACAAATAGCAAAAAGAGGTCGCTCCACGTATAGCCATATCGCAGAATATCAAATTTCGTAAAAATTTTATTGTGCGCACGTTGGACGCACTGCTTCACTAAGCGCCGTAGACGATGTAGTATATCCTAAGTTTACGTTGATCAAAAACGGAAATAGATTACCCAAGCGCTGCGTTCGGAGATGACTGAACTTCAAAAAGAAAGCCACTAGGGGACACGAAGAACTCCTCGTATTTTTCTCGCGGTTGTCGCTTTTTTTTTTCACCACATTAAGCACTGCGCTCAGAAAAGCCTACAACTTTGGGAGAAATCTTGGTTAACGTTTTAAGAGCTTACCCTGCATCTGTATTGTTTCCCACCTTATAATTAGGGTTCTGTGTCTTCAGTATATACCAAAAAATACCGAAAATTAACCCCGAGATGGTTTTCTCTGAATCGGTGAAAACCAAAATATCCCGATTTCAAACTGTCTTAAAAAAAAAAAAAAAAAAAAAAAAAAAAAAAAAAAACACGCCAGTTTTGTGGAAGAGAAGCATCTGCCCAACTTTTTTTTGTCATTGACACAGTACACAGCCGCACTGAACTGTCTTTGGGGTTGATCCTTTCTGTCAAAGCTACATTTCTTGCCCCGTTCCCTTCTCTTATCTTTACCAGCATAAGTGGAGAAAATATTATAATTGATAACTTATAAACCATGATGCTTTCTTTAGTAATTATACAGTCCCTTTATAACACAAGCCCGATAAACACCGATTTCCCCCCGCCATTACAATTAGACGCCGAAAAACACCGATGCAAACGGGAAATAAACACCGATAAATAACCCGATTTTTAAGAACAATACCGAAAACACGGAACCCTGCTGATAATCCCTGTCGTCATGAAAGGTGATGCTGCTGATGAAAAATCATCAGCTACTTTTGAGGAAGCTGTGCAATTACGGTCTGTGTCATTGGTACTATCGGCTTTTTGGAAGTTATTCATCTCATCGGGTAAATTTTGCGCGAGTGTCGAGCTGCTTATATACTCCTTTTTTTACCTACTTCGGGTGTTTCACAAGGCACCAATCTTGGTCCTTTGTTGTTTTTAATTTTCGTAACTGATCTTGCGCCATTAAACACTCGCAATTACTGTTATTTGCTGACGACATTAAGTTGTTTAGTTTGGTAAATACGATAAAGGACTGTGAGCGTCTACAGCGTAATGTAAATTAAATTTCGGCGTGGTGTTCTCTGAATGGCCTTGTTTTTAATGAGACAAAGACGAAAAGTATGTCATTTTCGAAAAAGCATAATACTGCGACCTTTTCTTATACGTTAGACGACAGTGCTATTGCTTGTGTGCCTGTGTTTTGGAGATTTGGGAGTGTATTGGAATCCGGTATTTAATTTCAATCACCTTGTTATTGCTATAACGAATGCATCTTTTAAAGTCTTGAGAGCAATCACACGTGCAATACTTAACTTTTTGAGTTCACTTTGCTTTTACGTTTGTCGTGCTCACTCGTGCGTAGTCGTATTAAATACGCCTCGTTGGTGTGGAAATGTATTGGAGTCACAAATTCATGTATCATCAAGTGAGTTGAGAGACCATTATTTCGTGTACGTTATGATCGCTTCTTTTATTTAGACTATTACTACAGTTATAATAGAATATGCAACCTGACGAAACTGGATACATTGCATAACAGAAGAATGAGACATGACTTGAAGTTTCTGCACAAGGTCGCGAATGGAATAATTGATTCATCTGTATTACTTTGTTGCATTTAGTTACGCGTTCCTCGAATTTCTTGCAGGTCTCACTCAATGTTTTATTCTTCTAGTTTGCATAAAGCAGAACCCATAACATGACTACAATCAACGTATAACCATTGTGAACAGATTGCTGAGAATAGTAGCCTTGATATTTTTGATGACTCGCGTAGATTTAGAAATTCGGTTGATTATATTGTCTTGTTCTAAAGTTTCTCTTCCTATTCATATTTTTGTTGTGCTGTTACATACTAATCTGGAAAGTGCATCACTAAAAAGGCGTCATGCTGTTGGTGTGCCACTCAAAATAAATGAATTATTGAATGGAAAAGCGCCGTACGCTCGTTTTAGCTACATTGAGCTTACCAATACCGACGCTTCTATCCAGGTGTGACTCGACAGTTGCTGCCGCGCAAATGCTCGTCAGCAACTGGCGTTAGCTCCTCCCGAATCAAATAGGTGGCAAAGAGGTTTGTCACATCGCGACTTCTGCTCGAAAGAAAAGCAGACATTTTCGTAAATTCTTAACTTGTCGGCCATGGCCCGGTAAATTCAGGCAATTGATTAATTTGTTCTATCCTACTTCTACTAAGAACTGTTTACAAATTTAAAACCGCTCGCTGAGGAGAACGCAGCACGCATTATGCGCATTTAGATCCGCAAAAGATTGAACATACAAACGGTAGTAATTTAAAGCTTGTTCATTCCTGATTTTCTGCGACGCTGAAGTGTCATCGACTTACTAGATTATTTCGATTGCAAGGGGGTCTCGCACCTTTCGTGCCCACCGTGTGAATAAGCAGGCATGTAGTTGAAACGACTCGGGAAGTCAGCGTCCGCTTCTTCCTGCCAGTTATTTTGAGAAAACGTTCGTTTACTGGTTTACAAAATTTAAAAAAAGGAACCTACTCGAAACTAATAAGAGACCAGCACTCGCAGAACTTATTGGAGCCAACAGGATACACGGAGTCGCTTTCACTGAAGTGTTTATTACACACGCGGGAGGTTCTCGCATTTCGCTTTCCTATTTTCAATTCGACGAGACCTTCCTTTCTTAGTTTTATTTTGTCCGAATCATAATAAAAAAATACACCCTGTTTGTCGTGGTAGATGTTGCAGCGGGATAAAGCGTTGGATATTATATCTTTATCATTCTACCTTTTTTGTACGGGGTAGAGAACAGCCAACCACTACCCGAGCGCTTCGACACCTCAGCTCCCAAAATGTTTGTTGGCACGACTACGCGTGCCACGTGCGGTTTCGAACTTTGGTAAAATGTCCTACTCTAAATATCACTTCACCAAAAAAACACAACGCGTGAAACAAGCTTTGTCGCGCGTTACCGAAACAGCGCGTGAAGCGAGGTGACGAGCCGAGGGATCCAAGATCTGCGCGGCCTGTCCCAGTCTGTCCTACTCGTGACGTCACGAACGATGATGATGATAGCTAAAGAAGCGCCCCCTGTAGCTCGCGCACACCGCCAATACCCGTAAACAATTCCTGCGACAAGTGTTTTTAAGCTCTAAAAAGTATATTTGAGTTAATTAACACAAAATACTGAAAAATGCCATTAAGACTGGGTAGCAAATTCTTTCGTTCAAATGTATTAGCAAAAAAAAAAATACTACCAAAAGATTTTGAAATAGAGTATCTTCAGTTAAGTATTCGAGATAGGCACAAGTCTGATTTAGATACACAGTTTAGCTGCAGTAATTGCGTAAGTAGTGCATGGCGGTGTGCAGTGCTGGTGCCGCTTCGTCCAAACGACCGTATGCTCACTAGAGTTGTGCGGCGCACCGAATAGCTAGTTTGAAGCTGGAAGTTTTTGTGCCGTGCTAAAAACTGCTGTGCTGATTTCTAAAGTGTTCTGGCATAGACCTGCACTTTCACGGAGCACAGGTGTTGCAATTCTATGCCAGAAAATATGTCCCAGATCTGTTTCCGTTTGGTTTGTTCCCGGCAGTCGTCGAAACACCGAAAGAGAGGATTTATTCAGACAGCCTGCCACTAAAGCAATACAGCTTCTTAACTAATAAGTATAAACGTTCTTTAGTAAGTCAGAGAGCCTGCCACTAAAGCAATACAGCTTCTTAACTAATAAGAGTAAGCACTCTAGTAAGTTTTGTTCCACTGTCAGGGATGCTTTGTCCAGTCCTTTCTTTTATCAATATTTGCTATTCCGGGAAGTTCCAGGTCATGTTCGGCTATCATCGTACGTCCTGGTGGAGGTGCTAGGTATTTTATAGGGCTGGGCGTCAATTTAATTAACCCGATTAATCGCCACTTTTTAATCTATCAATTAATCAATTAATACTCTCAATTGTTTTCATGCGTAATATTTTTTTTTGCTTTTGTGATAACTATATAATAAATGGCACAATATACATTATGGATTATTGTTAATTGCGCCGTATATCGATGTGTAGTTGAGGACAATTGAAAGACATTCACACTCTCGGCTTTTTACTTCAACTGATTGAGGCAAAAAGGCTCGTTGATATTCTCCGGCAAGAGCGACCTCCTTTGATTGTTCACAATAGCTCCTGCTGCGCTAAACGGACACTTACACGGTGTTAAAGGGGCCGGGACACGTGTAACCTGCACTTGTCTGGTGTCACAAATCTCACCCCTACAGTTTACTTTAGGTGAATATTTTACCCAAACGTGCCCATCGTATAGGTTTACTCGTACACTTCTGCATAGTGAAAGCTTTTATTTTTACTCTCTTTGGATTCATCAAATTATAACTGATTAACCGTTGAAGAAATTATAGGGATCGAAGCATTAACCGATTTATCCGTAAGTTAACCGACCAATTGCCCAGCCCTAGACTACTTTACCCTATGTCATTTTCTCTTACATCCCGAGGAACCGGGAACCAAGTCCGATCCTGAGCCCGGAAGATAAACCACAAGACGAGCGGGTCCCACAAGAAGAGCGAACCTTGAAAGTTGACCCCAAACACCCTGAACCCTCAGCCAGTCGCTGCAACCAGGGAGAACCACCGAAATTCGGTCTCCTGCTGGAGAAACCCCAGGCGAATAATACCCCATTCCCAAGGTCAGCATAAAGGTACCTTTAAAATAGGACCCCTTGTAATCGGCGAATCAGCCAACGCACATGGAGTGCGAGCATATGCCATGTACGGAGGGTCGTTAACTGATTCTCCGCCGACCACAGGCACGTAGCCAGGGGGGTGGCCTGTGGGACCCGGGCCCCCTCCGAAATCTTCCATTTTGCTAGGGCCTCCTCTCCCCCCTCTCTCTCATACAGCATTTTGTCATGGGCGGGCCCCATGCGCGCACCCACTTTGTCAACCGCCGAACTGGGTTTCCTTGAAAGAGATGGCAGCCATTTGTGAGAAGGTCCGAGAAACGCTCAATGACGACTTCATCCATGCTTCAAACAGTCAGTGGACTGCCCCGGTGGTGCTCCTCAAGAAGGAAGGACAGGACTGGACCAAGCGGGGTTCGAACCTCCTCCCTCTGCCTGGCCGCCGCACGCCGTTGCCAACTCGGCCACACACATGATGGTATCATTCATTCATTAATTCATTCATTCATAAATAAAATCATAAATACATTCATACATACAAACATACTTACATACATACACGCATACATGCATACACACATACATACATGCATGCATACATGCATACATACATACATACATACATACATTATTATTATTATTAATATTATTATTCTTTTTATTATGCCCCACAGAACGACCGAAGTCTTGCTGTGGGGCACATACGTCCGTACAATATGAACAGCACATATATAGGAAAACAGTATGATTAGCGGTGAGAGCAAGGTTTCTAGTTTACGTTTAAAAGACACATAGTCTCTGAAAGCATCCTAAAAAGTATTTTATGATATGGCATTAAAAAAAAAAAACAAAAAAAAAAACAGTTGAATACGTGAGACCGGCAAAAGTTTCTTCTAAGAGCCAGGATAAAAACAACCGTCTTGTCTACTGGAACGCAGAGACCTGAAAGTCAAGACAACTCAGCTAGCTGCTGTCTATGTGGTCATGAATTATTATCCGTAACTCTAGTAAGTCGTGCCAAACTTTTCGAGTTCATAATATTTGTAAGCCTCGACCATGTACTCGTAGCCATAAAAACACCCTTGTTTAAAATAACGATTACAAACGATTCGAATAAAGCTCTTGTGAACTTTTTCAATTCGCAATGCATCGGTTGGTGGGGCGAAATTCCACACAACACTTGCAAACTCCAGCCGAAAACGAATTAGGCTGCAAAATAACCGAATAATGCACAATGAATAAAGAAAGTATGTGGTCAAACAAGCGAGATATTGAGCTCAGCAATCTTACAGCTGATGCGAAAATTTGAGAGACATAGTAGGAAAAAGGAGATGATCATTAAAATAAACTCCTAGGTCGCGAACCACAGACACACGCAAAATGATAGTGGAACCAAAGAACGCAGGTATTTAAAATTGACTCCCTCTTTCAGCACATTGATAGCACATCAGTTTTATCAGGATTGATTAAGAAAAAAATTGCCGAGCCCCGCTGAAGCACGTGTGATAGATCGTCGTGTAAAAGTGCGATGTCATTGAGTGACCGAATATTAAAATCAAGTCATCGTTTAATAACAAAAACCGAGCATTTTTCACGCACAATTCAATATCACAAATAAATAAAAAAGTTATGGTCCCAGGTTAGAGCCCTGACGGACACCGGACAAAGAAACAAACGCACCAAAAAAACGATTTAAAATTCGCAGACTGCTTTTACGGTCGGTAAGATAACACTGAAATCATCTGGTGAGTGCAGGAGAAACACCATTACAAGATAGCTTATACGGAAGCAATTTGTGGTTTACTCTGTCGAACACCTTCGACTTGTCGAAGTAAACTGTATCAACTCGATCGCGATTTAGGAAAAACGGCACAGAATAGTGATGGAACGAAATGTGGTTCGTTTCCACCGAACGACCCTTTAGGGAATTATGCTGGAAATCCCTTCGCTGGTGCCGGAAGTAGTGAGACGTATGGGCAAACCGAGAGCGTTGTAGTTCTGTGACTTCTACAGTCAAAGGTTGCACTGCAGAGGCAGAGAGCCCATTCTTGTTGGTTTTATAATGATATACGTTACAGTGGTACGCCTTTGTGTAATGCACGTCAAAAATACGAAGTGAAAAATTGTATTTCATTGGCCAATAGGCTTCCCTAAACAGTGATATAAGATGCCACTTTTGTGTAGACTGATTTCTAACTGTTATTTTTAACATCCGAATAACGTATGCCCATTGGGATAACATCAAAATCTTTCTCCAAGGCTCGCTAAAAGACGAACATCCGCTCCTTAAAAAAAAAAGGCTTCTCAACAAAAATAAGTATGTGACCGATCGTCTCAGGTTGTTTACAAACGGCCACGTCACCTGGGCGGCTACGAACACAGACCACCTGAACTACTGTTTCTATCAATGCATATCAAGGTGTTGTTTTCTTATTTTATAAACAAGCAGTTCAACGCGATAATTCTGAAGATCATGTCTAATCAACAGACCTGCTCTGTTTTATGTCAATGATTATTAGGTAAGCCGTTACACTTACCTTGATATGCTCTTCCATCGATGTCTTTCCGAAACCCAGATCTCGAAGAACGCGGAGACTGAAACTTCTATGCTCTGTCCCCGCTTCACCGTCAAGATTGAACATACCTAGAAGAAAGCAAGTGGGATATCTATTTACTCTAGACAACAGGCCCTCCTTTCAACCGAAAAATAATTATTAATTTCACAACTCACAAAATGAAACAATTGCAATTTTCACCTTGCAACATATCGCCTTCTCTGTGTCTAGGGTAAGTGCTTTAAAGGGGTACGGAAACAAAAATAGAAATATTCAGATTTCGTACGGAAATGAGTTAAGACGGATAGTAACCGTAAATGATAATCGCACGTTTGTATTTCGAACGACTGGCTATATTTTTCGTTCCAAACGGTGCACTCGAGCAAGCGCTCGAAGAGAAGCGAACGGAGAGCGCGATGCGTCATGGGATATCCGGCGCAAACAAAAACAGAAAGAAAAGATTTCCCATGTTCGTCGAGTAGCAAGGCAGGCGTGGTTCTGAGCTTTACCATTGGTGGCGTTGTCCGCGTTGTGGTGGTGTAAATAGCGTCAGCGCGTTACACCCGAGCCGTTCGAAGTACCCGTGGTGTGACGAGCATGTGGCTGGCCCAAGGAGCACGTAGCTTCCATAACACTGTCAGCTTAGGGCTGAACGGGGTGGGGAAAGCAAATTTTGTTCAAGTTTTGAGTGACGGGCTAATCTTCTAAGGGGAAAATGGCTGTGTCCGGTTGCACGAACGAGCTTCCGAGAAAGAGGGGAGTTCTTCCTTCCCGTCTTCTTGGACCGTTTCGTACAATGCGCGACTTGTGAGTTAGTTGAGGAGGAAAGCTAAGAAAGAAGATGTTGAAATGCCAAAGAAAGGCGCTGCTTCGTAAGAATCTGCTACGTCACGACTACGTAGCAGATTCTACAACGTTGCTAGACTACCTCCGAAATAGGCTCCGCATGCATCCACCAGGTGCAAATTGAAAGATCGTTTATTTAGCTTTAAAATTAGTTTTCTTGTGCCTTTCAACGGAAGACTGGTGTTTTTGAGGTTAGGGTGCAACATGCGACACATTCAAGCTAGAAAATGAGCGCTGAAATTTCTTTTCCCTACCCCTTTAAATACTTCATGTTTCGCGAAGCGGCCATTTCCGAAAACTTTACGTTGGGGAATTGTTTCCTAGAAGTTAACTTCTTCACTACTGACCTCTAACAACGTATACGCGTGTTTGCATTTGTTGAACAAGTTTTTTATTATTATTATTATTATGCTAGGACCTATACGTTGCTAAACACCTCAGCTCGGTGTCTGACGGTCTCGTGTGTCTTTATATAGAAGGAGAATCGTCGCGACAACTAAACTAATATAAAAGTCTTTTTCCTACCTTTTGAGCTAAATAATCGAAATTTGACCTTAATGTTAACGTTTATTGTTTAAAGTTGCTTATGGAAGTAATTGAAGACAATACTGGAGCGGTCAAAATGACTCTTCCAAACCAATATTTGACAATTTAATTAACAGGATGTAGTTCATTATTTTCTGATTGCGACGGTCATCATCCCATCTAAATTACGCCGACCAGACTAACATGCACCAAAGACAATATTTACGTGGCGTTCATCTCCCTTTAATAATCAAATATATCTTCGAAAAAAGAAAAAAAAAAACGTTCAGCCTTTCCACTCTCGTGAAGAATAAAGACCAGCGGAGCTGTACTCGATACACTGTGTGCTTCTTCGTCGTCGTCTGTTTTTCGCGCTGTTTCCTACGATGAATTCCCACCAACGCGCCTAACTATCCATTCTTCTTTTATAGCTGGAAAGGTTGCCGCCATCTACGAGCGACGGCGGAAACCATACTAGTTTTGTGCTTTCCGCCGTCGCTTATAGATGGCGGTAGCTGTCCAGGTAGGTTTGTGTCGACATACACGGACACGATCCTGGGGGAACCTAGACTTTAACAGCTCCGCTGTAAAAAAGAGCTCTATATTTTAGACAAAAATAATTAACGTTTTACCTGCGCATCACCATATATATTATTGAACTGAAATTACATGTTATATATTTGCCCTATTTAGGGTGCCATTTTCGACATTTTTATCAATTCCAAACGTCCACTTGCCACCCATTCACGAGGCTTTCCTCAAAATAATGTTCAGCTGTAAATCACACGTGAATATAACTAATTGATACCCACAGTCTGTCGTATCGGCCTGACAGCTTGGGCTCGTTCCGTGGTGTCAACCTTACTTGAACAACTAATTTGGGAAACTGCCACAGAAGCCTACCTTGAAAAAGCGGCTCCGATCCGTGCTCGTGAACCGAACTTGACGCGATTGCATTGCCGCCATTCCTACCCGCGGTGGCCACTCCGGTAACTCCCCAGCTGCACGAACTAGGGTGCCGAGCAACGTTACTATAACCCTCAGTGGGGGACCCTCATAGAGACAGCTTGAAAAAAATGGCCCCAATCTATCTCCGAGCACCGAGCTAATGACGAACACAACGCCACCATTTCTCCTGCAGCGGCCACTCGAGGAACTGCACGTGACGTCTGATATGGCTTTCAGAACAGATACAGCGGTAGCCGCACACTTCGGCCCAATCTGGCAACTAGGAAGCACGTACTGATAGCATTTTTAGTTTACTATTAGTGGATTAAAAGAACACCCAACTACCAACTAGGGGTGCCACCCCCGTCTCCCCAGCGGACGCGCCGCGTTCAACTACCAAAGTTAAAATGCACCTAGGTTGGGACGCGCTACCTGAAAGGCCCGCTGAGGCATGGTTGTATAAAAACAATATTAATTGTTCCGCAAAACCTTGTGAACTAAAGATGATAAAAGCATTACGCACCCATCATTTGGTACGAAACTCTAATAAATTTCATACGAAAAGAGTCTTTTCCGTTTGTTTTTACGCAAAAACAGGCTTTCAAAAAGCTCAAGGTAACCTCAGTACAGACAAACGATAAAGAGTGGCGCTGTTGTCGCATTTAGCTCGGTCTAGGTGGACGCCAGCGGCCCAGGTTTCGACGGCGAGTTTCCCAACTGAGTGTTTTAGTAACGTTGGTGCCGAGCACAAACCAGTCCAGTCGAGTGGCGCGAAGGCCGCTGGCGCCATCTCGTAGCGCCATGTCGCATTAGCAATATAAAACAACCTTTATGCTTTGACCCACTGATAAAGGGTGGCAATGTAATCGTATCTAGTTCGGTATCCGTGGACGCGAGCGCGGTTCGGGTTTCAAGGATGAGCTTTCCAACTGAGTTTTCTTGTAACTCTGCGTACAGTTAAGGGCGAGCGGAGCAACTTGCAAACACTCCTAACCCTGTACACCATTTCATTCCGACCCCAGTTCGACCGTAGCAGACACGACTATCCGACGGAGCCAATCAAGAGGAAACAAAAGTGCATGGTCGCGGCGCTTATCGCCTTTGTACGCTTGAGATCTCCTCGGCTAAACAAATCGCGTGCAGTGAATTTCCCCCAATGCTGCGCTTTTTTACTCTGCGTGATTGGATTGGCCGGCAAGAGCAAAAGCGCAAAAACGACGACGCACTCTGGCCGCCGCTCGATTGGCTCCATCAGATAGCAGTGTCCTCTGCGGCCGGACTTTATGTGAAACGAAGTATAGCGCACACAACTGGAGTGTTGATTAATCCTCATTGTTTTTTTTGTTTTTTGTTTTGTTTTTGACGTGTATAAAATAAATCCAGTGAGAACGTACCGAAGGTTCCCCGCGACACTTCGTAAAATAGACTTTTCTCAGAACGACCTGGTTCGTCCTCGGAGCAGTAGAACTGTTTTATCGATGCCATGTCATTCAGGATGACCGCATCAGTCGAGCCGAGTTTTATACTGTAAAACAAAATTCCACACAACGAATTATAATTTGCGATTTTCAACCAAATACAGAAATATTGTGCAGCGATAATTTGTTCAGGTCAATCGAAAACTGTAGGTTTCGAACTTTCAGCTACACCATTATTTTATTTTCTTCTGCAAAGTACATTTAGTAGCACACCCAAAGGCGATTTTTTTTTTGTTGAGGTTAAGGCATGGTTCGTACCTAAAAGTAACAAAAACATGATAACACGTTCAGCGTATTTATTTATTTAATTTACATTGGATATGCTTTTCAAAACATTTTTTTTCGGCTTCAACTAAGTAAACGCCACAATGAGAAGACTGAAAAAAAAAATAATTAATGCCTATGGCCACTGCCGCTTTTTTGAGTTACGAGAAACTTTAAATAGTGCGAAATTAGCGTTAGTAATTTGTGGAGATGAATGATAGCGTTAAAGCGTTACATACTATATTTTGCGTGAGAGTAAAAAAAAGAAGCCTTGACAATATACTATTTTGGTATTTGTTAAGTGTGTAATATACCCTGTTGCAGGTTAAGGAAACCTACCGCAAAGCCATCCACTTTTTCACTTTAGCAGAGTTAACGCAGGAAAGGAGGCGAGACGAGGCGAGGAGGTATTTGCCTTTTTTCCGACATTCGCACCGGGTAATAGGAAGAGTCCTTAGAAAAACCGGTCTCAGCATCCTTTTTAATTTTTTTTTTTAGATTTCTTATTGACTTTCCGGGATCATACTGCATTCCTTTATAATCACACTTTGCTTTGATTATTGTCCAAAAAACTTAAAAAAAAATTTTTCGTAGACTTTTTTATTTTCTGTAGGTTATTTACTAAAAAAATCAAAAGGAAAAAATAGTAGATTTGTTTGTAGACTTATTTATAAAGAAATAAAAAGAAGTTGTAATGCCGTTTGTTTGCAGGTTTTTTTTTTAAAAGGATTTTTTGTAAAATTATTTCTAAAAAAATTAAAAAGAAGTTGTAATGACATTTTTTTGTAAGTTATTTTCTGAAAAAAAAACTTAATGACCTTGTTTTTTACATTATTTTATAAAGAGTGAAATTTGCTTTATTAATATTCTATTAAAAGTATTGAGGTCATTTTTTTTAATTTGGAAGAAAGTTTTGAAGAATAACAGCTTACATTGTTTGAAAATATTGAAAGGCAAAACACATTTTCTTCGGATTTTCTCTGTTGACATATTTGTAAGTGTTCTAAAAATTATAGTAAGTTGCTTTGCACCTCTTTTTCTTTTAATTCAGGGTAATTTTTGTTTAGAATCAGAGTACAAAGGCAAATCACATTTTTCATTCCCTTCTCTGTTTCTATATAATAAAACATTCTGACAACGCGTCAGACGT